CTTTGAGTTAAGGCTTGCGATTGACTTAACATTAATTGCAATCAAATAGTGTTTCGCAGACAATGTGTTCACAACTCTATAGTTTGAAAGTTGTGTTCAATTCAAACACTTGTCTCTCTATTAGTGCGAAAGTCTTATCACACAATCATATTATGTGTCGAATTGGCATTCGTTCAGTCCGTACAACCCTACCATCCCTTCACATCCACTCCTATTCACACTATTCAACCATTTCTCACACCTATATATCATTGTAATCACAGTTTATTTCATGTTTTTCTATAAAATTCATATCAGAATACAGATTAAGTGTCCAAAAATGCAAATTCAGGCCAATTTAGCATGCTAATTCTGCATTAATTCCAAGTTTAAACACTTTTTATTAGATTCAAACTTAATAAACAGTCTTAAATTAATTTGTTATGAATTTATTATTTAAATAAATGTATGGTTTTGTCTCATTAGAGGTTTAATATGAGTTACAATTGATTTAAAGTATAAAATCAATTAAACTTAACATTAATTCTGTTCCCAAGAAGTCATACGATTCCTGTCTGTCTTTCAAATGACCGAAATATCCCTAAATGAAGTGAAATACTCCCAATGTTTTAGCAACATTGCCATTGGTTACGATGCACTCAACATATGGCGGAATATTCCCCAAAATCGGGAATTATGTTGATTTGAGGGAATTCTGTGAACGCATGTCATGTGAGTGACAGACAAACACAACAACAAAACCATTTTGAGATCAAAATTGCGATAAAATATTAAATTGAATCCAATTTGAGGTAATCATTGGCACCATTGCCACCATTCTTACCATTCATTTGACACTTAACACCATTGCATACATCAGACCATCTCTGGGAACGATGATTCTGTCGAAAGCGTCTTCACTGCGACCAACTCTGGCCAATGAGTTGGTGTTGCGGTCGGCTATGCGTTGGATGTCTGGAGCGGGCGGTCACGCGGGACACCAACCAAACCCGGGTCTGTGGCAGAAGGTGTTCCTCTTGGTGTGCATCCCTGCCATCGGTCTGTCGGGTCTGAACACATACCTCGTGGAGAAGGAACATCACGAGCACTTCCATCGCCCGGAGTTCAAGCCATACGAATACATGCGGATCCGCACGAAGCCCTTCCCGTGGGGTGACGGCCAACGCACTCTCTTCCATAACCCCAAAGTCAATCCATTGCCCGACGGCTGGGAGGAGTTGCCCGAAGACCCCCACAACAAGCATTAATATATTAGAGATTACTCTCAATACTTCTGTTCAATACTTAGCCGAAAGAGTAGCCGTTATTTGCCTTTAATTTGATTCAATGTTTAGTTTTTTCAGTCAATTATTGTTAAAGACTTTAGAATAAAATGATTTCATGTCTTATGTCTTAATGTCTTAATGTCTTCATTGCATTTGATTTCAATTTATTACAAATGATATGAAATTAAATACTAAATAAATTTAATTTTAAAATTAAAATCACTTTAAAGTCGATGGTATGGCGTAATCGTGAAGACAGGGAAGCAATCACTTCTTGCGACCGCCCCTCTCCTTGAGTCCGAGCACAATGACGGCGCCGTTAGTCATGTTATAATAGGCCAACGAATTGGAGTCCTTGA